GCCCTGCTGCCCGGTGGCCAGTCCCACCCCTCCACATCTCCTCCCAGCCCGCCCCGCTCCCCTCCCGGTAGCCACACTGAGGCCGGGTATTTTTTTGCCCATAGTTTGGGAAACGCTGCCCTAGACCGCTCTAAGACCAACACTTGGTACCCTGCAGAGCTCTTGTATAATCGTTTATCAAATGAGAATCTGCATTTTTGTTCACAGTGCAGCAACTTTATTGCCAAGTCACTTCAACTTTGGCTACCCCAGGCTGGGCAGGTTGCAATGTGCTTTACCCATTTGCTCCAGCACCCCTTGGAAGATGCAGAAAAGCCATTTGCCATTAGCGCGTGTGTGACAGCAAAACCAATGGGAAGACATTCCAACTTCCCTTAGAATGCTGCTCTCATGCCCATCGTCCCTGAGCGTGCCTACTCACCTTGAACATACGTGGTGCCACGTGAGAGTGTCTCCCAGACCACATCTGCTTAATGAGTCCTGCATACGCCTCTGCAATTTCCCCTCTCATCCCCAGAGGATTGTCATGATTTATTTCCGCCTCATATCGATCTTCCAGGAAATACTCCGTCAGAGGTGGGGTGTTGCTCAAACACTGAAATAAAACACATTTTCAAAGCGCATGTCATTGTCTAAGCCAGCAAACCCCTTTGAGAAGGAAGGAATCCAGCAGTCCAAACTTCACATCCGCCCCTGTGAAGTGACAACACCCTTCTGCAACCAAGCTTGTGTGAAAGCAGACAGAACAAAGCTGTTGAAAGGAACAATGAAAGTTTGGAGTTTACAGCTCTCACAATCCAGTGAAACAGAAAGTCTCTTATTTCAGCAATGCGATTCAGACAAAGGCCACATTAAAGAGTTCACAATGTTCAAATGTCTCTTGCCAGCATCTGAAAGGGGACTCTAGCAGGACTGTGCTAAGCAGAGATGAACTGAAGCTGCGCACTGAAGGGCCACATTACTCACAGGTTAATCGAGAGTTACTTTCTGATACACAATTTCCCCACCTCCTCTCCGATCCCCCCACTAGCACAGGGCTCTGGGAGCACCTAATAGCAGCAGCGCTAGCCTCAGTCTAGACAGGGTACCGCGTGGTGTCACGAGCAAGTCTGTTCGAGGGTTCTCCCCCACTGACCTCCCAAAGCTGGAAACGAGGCCTGAGCGATTATCTGATGGTAACTGTCCACAGTGAGAATATGAACTAGACCCCGTGACACCTTTCTCCCCGCCCCATCTATTACTAGACATAGTAATTTCCTGGCTTGTGCTGAGGTCCAAGAGGAATGGGTAGCATCTCCTGTAGCACAGCAGTGTAGGCACTAGAGGCAGGAGCAGTACAGTGACTCCTGGTCCCTGCAAAACAACCAGAGGGGGTGGGAGTGAGGGGGAGGAGGCCAACCCCTAGCTCTGGCCCCTCCAGTGACTCTTAAGATTAGCTGTAGCTGGTCTTCCCCTCCTCCTAGCTGCTCCTCCTTCCTGATGCTGAGACACCTGCTGTGATCCAGTGACCCTAGGAATCAGCATTAACAGGGAAGGGAGGCTTTTTGGGAGCACCTTGCCTGCCTGCTGTGTGCGCCTGCGGCATGGGGTCCAGGTGCAGAGAGGGAACGCAGCTGCTGAACACGGGGAATCGCGCACATTTTACCTGACAATGAAGTGGGTGGGACTATTGTCAAAAATAAAACTGATGGGTTTTAAAAACTAAAACTGTTATCTTGAATCCCTGCCCCTTGGTACCTCTTACCTGTCTGCCACCTGGACACTCTTCAGGACAGCTAATGGGCTTCTAACAGGCCTCTGCAGTGCCTAACGCACCTTGGGGGTGCTAGTGGAGAGTGCTTAACAGGTGTGTAATGAATCCATGGGGGTAAAGCATAGAGGGGACTCTTTTCAGCCCTTTACCTGCAATGCAGAGTTCATGAAGCAGGTGTTTCCCAGGTTACTGAGACCACAGATGCCAGGCTGTGACTGGGAAGGGGACTCCATGCAGCTGTAAGAGTTGTAGGAAGCGCTGGAGACTCTGGAAGAAAACACATTGTTTTTAATCTAGTCTAGTCACGAGTCCACGTTTCACTCATCGCGGCAAACTCCACAATTCACATCAAATGCTAGTCCCTCTTATTGCTGCTCCTGCACGTTAGTTGTGACATCGCATTTCTCCCTGATTTCTGGCAAGTCAGATGTTTCCTGAAACGATGCAGCTCCTCTCTCCATTCCAGCTGCTTTTCTTTCGTCCTTTACCGCTAGTACGGTGTCACGCTTTTTCTCCAGCCCTTTATTATGCTGCACAGACATATGCGGGGCAGCTGCTACCGTGCACAGCTGATGAAAGTTTCATGGTCTCTGCCTGGCAACGTGGCTATCGCAGCCACAGAATGGGACACAGCACACCCAAATGAGACTAAATGGCTAGTTTTCCATGCAGTGGGCTAGAGTGGAGCAAGTGTTCCCCTCAACAAGTGTCTGAAAGGACAAGTATCTGGGGTAACAGCGAGGACATACCGGTCAGAGGGAGGAGGAGTGGGGAAAGGAAAGCATTCCTGGTCTTACCCCCCACCAAGGCTGGAGCTGGTCAGTCCATAGGAATTACTGCTATCACCATTTGCAATGGCAGAAGAGGCAGACACTGAGGAGCAAGAACTTAGTGATGATGCTGAAGCAGCAGTACAATTTCTGCTAGTTGCAGTGCATGATCTGGGAGAGAGGAGAGAAGCAGAAACAACGCCACCAAATTTTGTAACCCCCAGACTCCAGTGCTCTAAAATAAAGGTCACTTCAGATGGAGAATTTACACGCTCCTGGCAATACCTGCATTTCCAAACCACCAGTGTGGAATACCGGGTCATTAAGGCAGGGTTTCCCAACCTATGGGTCCCCACCAAGAGTCTCTTAAGGAGCCATTCACACATTTGAAAAGGTGGGCTCTGCAGCTGGCTTAGTCTTAAGGAGTCATTCACCTGAAGTGGTACTCAACTTAATTGGTTTAACAACCTTCAGGCAATTAAACCATCAACTGAATTCAATCCCATTTCAGTGACTCAGAGCAGAGTAGGGAAATGTCCCTGGAGGCGAGCTAGGGAACCCAGAGAAGCAGCAGCATCCAGCTCAGGTAGGTGAGGGTAGGGGGCCAGGTGTCTGGGGGTCTGGCTGAGAGGTTTCCAGTCACCCTGGCCAGGGTCCCTGTGGCTGCCCCAGCTGGGTTTCTTGCAGCTGACAAATTAACTGCAGCATTGGGCACTGTGGAAATCAGGGCTAGTCAACACACGGATGGTACCCAGTGGGGAGTGGTCTTCTCTGCAGCCACCCTGGGGCTGCCTCCGCGGGGGTGAGCTCTGCGTGCCAGGCTTGGGCGGGAAGGGAACTCAGGCCTTGTGGCGGAGCCTGGGGAAGAGGCTGGGAATGTGCTCTGCAGGCCGGGGGCAAGCGCTGGGATTGTTCTGGGGACGCTGCTAGGGCAGGCGTTGGGACTGTGTTTAGGGGGGAATTGGGTTGCAGCAGGAGGGCTGGAAGGTGCCTGGCTCTGAGGGAGGGGTGGGTGCATTGGGATAAAGCAGTGGGCTGGAGTACCTGACTCTGGGGGCGGAGAGGGGCAATTTTAGTAAATTTTGTGATCTGCATATATTTGCATATACGCAGCCACGCTAAGTTGCAGCCATCGGCATGTGCTGTGGGTATCATTGTGGCCCCTGGGGCTTCCCAAGTTGAGTAGCCCTGGTGTAAACAACAGCCAGTAATATATGCCATCTCAGACTTATCGCGTTGCACAATCATAATGCAAGTAAGTGCTTGTGTTAGTAAAGCAGCAATCTTACTGTGTGCATGTGTTTGTTATTAATACAGCAGGGAATTGTAAATTTCATTTTGCCCTTTATTTGAAAAAATGACTTCAGCATAAAGAATGTTGACGAATACATCAAGTATGGATTTACGTCGATAATTACAGCAGGAGTGGAAAGGCCGTAGAGCGTCATATACATGGAAGCTCTTTCCAATGAATCACTGAAACCAAGTAAATTGCAATGTCATTTAAATACTAAACACCCTCAATTTAAGAGCAGAGATGTGGATTTTTTTAAAATAAAAAGCAGGTGGTGTCAAGAAATGCTGACTTGATGTTGGTGGGTCTTACCAGCAACAAAAGTTAGCTGCCATAGAAGCCTCATACGTTGTAGCATTGAAAATTGCGAAAGCTAAGAAAGCGCATGCCATAGCTAGTTCCCTTTACCAAGTAGATTGTCCGCCTTTTGGTAAGTGCAGATGCTTTGAAATACCTGCAACCTTTGTCCATGTCCAATAACACAATGAAGTGTAGAATTACTGACATGTCTAACGACATCAAATCTCAAGTCAAAGAAATTAAAAATTCTCCCGGAGAATTATTCAGTATGCAGCTAGATAAGACAACTGATGTGTGTAAACTTGTGCAACTGATGATGTATGTGCGGTATATTAAAAATGAATATGTAAAAAGAAGTTTTGTTCTGCAAACCATTGGAAACTACAATCACTGCACAAGATGTGTTCAATAGCTTGAATATTTTCTTTGAAGAACATTCCATAGAATGGAAATACTTGTGGGGCATTTGCACAGATGGGGCTCTGCTATGCTTGGTTGCAAGTCTGGATTCCGAACCCTGGTTAAAAATGCTTCTCCAAAAGTAACTGGAACTCACTCATCCATTGGTAAATACTAGCAACTAAAACTTTACCTATTCCTTTGAACCAGGTTCTTAATGACGTTAATTAAAGCTGCGAATTTTATTAAGTCCAGCGCACTTAGAACTTGCATATTTAAAAGCCTTTGTTTGGAACTAGGTTCTTTGCATGAAGTATTATTGTTTCACAGTTGAAGAAGGCAAAGTTCTAAATCAGGTGTTTGAGTTAAAAAAATGTTTTAAGTTCATTTTGTATGTCACAGAACAAAACAGTTTGAATATTTGTTTACAGAAAACAAGAATGTGTATAAAATAGCATACTTAGCGGACATTTGACCTACTAAATGATTTAAATGTGTCACTTCAAGGACCAAATTCTACAATTATCGGAGAAAATTAAATCCTTCAAAATGAAATTCCAATTATGGATTTTGAAAATTGATATAAAAAAGATATGTTTCCAACCCTTGCAACCCCTCTCAAAGCAGAAATGACATTAATATTATTGACAATTTGCGACTGTCGATACAGGAGAATGAAACATTTAAGTGATGAGCTACTCTGATATTTTCCAGATACAGATGAAAAGTTCTATGCTCTTACAACAAATCCTTTCAGTGTGGATGTTTGAGATGTACCTGAAGGCACCCAGGAGCAATCTATCAATATGATCAACAGCAATGATATAAAAGCAGAGTTCTCAACCGTGCCAGATAATCAGTTCTGGATCAGATGCAGAGCGGACTACCCACTTTTGTCAGAAGTTATTTTGAGAATTTTACTTCCATTTCCAAAGACACCGTGAATCAAGCTTCTCACATTTGCATACAATTTAAAATATCAAAATAAAATGTGGAACATGATCTTTGATGCGCACTCGCCACAACAATTCCGAGGATACAACAGATAGCAAAGCAAACGCAAGCTCAACCATTCCATTAATTTAAGTTCAGGTGATACTGTTTGGTAAAATACTACATTTTACTTTTTTTTCCCTTGAATAATGTGTATTAGGTTTCTAATATTTTTGTAACACCTGTGAGACTCCCAGGCTGAGTGTGCTCCCCAGGGCCTGACTCCCAGCTCCTGAGTGTGACTGATTCCCCGCCCTTCCAGCCCGAGTGAGTGTGCCTCCCAGCCCGCTGACTGAGACTCCCAGCCCCTCCAGCCTCTGAGTGTGGGGTTGAAGATGGGGGGAGCGGCTTTGGGAGGAGTGTCTTTCCCCCACACAACTCAGAGAAGTGCAGTTTATTTTATTAATGACGTGTTTTCAGTTTTTCTATGAAATAACTACAGGCAGTTCCTGGGTTACATGGATCCGACTTACATCGGATCCCTACTTACAAACGGGGTGAGGCAACCCCGCACTAGCTGCTTCCCCCCAGCAGACCAGGGAGACGCAAAGCTAGCGCCCCCCCCCAGCAGACCAGGGAGACGCGAAGCCAGCGCCTCCCCCCCAGCAGACCAGGGAGACGCGGAGCGGCTTTTCTCAGCAGACACCGTAGCTTGAGAATAAAGGACTGAGGGAAGTTAGATGTGGGAGAATAAAGCTGAGCTCTGGAGAAATGTTTGGCTAGAGTTTCCCCTACAACATGTACCAGTTCTGACTTACATACAAATTCAACTTAAGAACAAACCTACAGTCCCTATCTTGTACGTAACCCGGGGACTGCCTGTACTATATATACGAATATATAAACAGGAGGGGGCACTATTTTATATTCTTGCCTCAGGCACAAAAATAGCTAGTTAGCACTGCCTCCCCCAAGTTTGTGAATTGCCTTGGCTCACCAAGTCTTCCTGAATTGTCAATATGGGTCCCCGTCTGGAAAAGGTTGGGAACTGCTGCTCTAAGGCATCAAAAGAGAGGCAAGCGCAAGAAGAGGACCCAGGTGGCATAAACACAAGAAAGTTTGGCCTGAGTGTGAAGCAGGCTCTAAACAGCCTGGTACAGTAAGAAACTGAATCCTCTAAAATAACAAAACCTTTTCCCTCAAACAAGAGCCCACCAAAACAAAAGACCTCTCATTAAAACCCACTAGCTATGCAGGCAGGAGACTGCAGCCGAGCAAGTAGGGTAGGTGCTACCCAAATTATTGGGCAATGTACAGCCTGCTACTACCTGCTTTGTGGCTAAGTGGCATATGCAGGTATCCCATGAGCAGCCTGCAGAATTCAGAGCCTATTTGTTGGTCTCTGAGGTGCCACAGGACTGCTCGTTGCAGCTATAACTAAATGTTTTGATTTAACTTCTTGTACTTTTTTGATTCAAAGTGGTGAGTGCAAAGTGGTAGGTATTGTAAGACAGGGAGATGGACTTCCAGTGAGTGCTGCAGAGGGAGTCTGTGGGTTATGGTACATTTGGTATCAGTGATGTAAGCAGAGGTAAGGAAGAGTCCTGGAAGAGAGATTCAGACGGCTAGGTAGACAGTTTCCTCTAAAATGCTTCCAGTTCTATGCACAGGTCCAGCAAGACAGAAGGAAGTGCGGAGTCTCAATATATAGTTGAGAAGATGGTGCACAGAAGGGAGAGGGAGGAAGACGTTTATTAGGCACCTTAGAACACCTGAGCAAAAGGCAGCCCGCAAAGAGATGAACTCCACCTACATCAGAATGGAATCAGGCTGCTGACACATGAAAGAACTAGGACTGTCCAGTGATTAACTGAACTGTTAAACAGACACCACTGTTTAAACATTTGGGGGGAGGGGTTTCAATTACAAACACACTGAGTTCAATTAGACCTGGACAGTGCTCACTTTATTTAAAATACTTGCATGGTAAAAAAATAAATTGTATTTTCCAATCCCGCCATTAAATACTGCACACTGTCTACACACGGGCATTCCCTGTGGGGAGCCCTTTAGGGATGGGGGCTGAAGCTCCCTCTTCCCACATTCATATGGACACATTGCTGGCTCTTGCCCTTCATCAAGAAGTGAGGGGGAAGTGCAGTGTGCTGCCTTCCTCATCTGGCTGGGAGTGCAGGGGACAGCAGAGCTGTGCATTTTGCTCCGACAGGGACAGCAAGCAGCCCTAGTACAACTCACCCGCTACACTCACATTCACCTACCCAGAGCCTCTCCTTACTCCCCAATCCAGGCTCCTGAACACCCCAGACTAAGGATGTTAAGTAACGGTTAATTTACTAGTAGAGTAGTTGATGGAATTTCCATCGACTACTCGATGTACATTTCAAAGGAGGAATGCAGAACTCCATGTGCAGCCTGGGGCCAGCGGGAAGTCCCCCTGACTCTGGGCTGCATGCAGCATGCCAGCTTTGAAAGGTACAAGAGTCCCCAGCGGGGGCTCCATGCTGCACTGCCAATTTGAAATGCCATGCAGAGCTAGGGATCAGCTGGGGACTCCCAGCTGGGTTCTGCAGAAATGCTGCACTGGAGCCTGGGATCAGCTGTGGAGTCCCCAGGGGTACGTCTAGACTAAAGGCTTTTGTCGACAGAAGTTGTGTCAACAGATACTGTCGACAAAGAGCGTCTAGACTACATTCAATTCTGTCGACAAAGCAAGCTGCTTTGTTGATATAACAGTGTAGACGCAAAGGACAGTGTAGATGCAATAGCACCTTCTGTCAACAGAACTCTGTCGACAAAAGGCGTTATTCCTTGTAAAATGAGGTTTACAGCCGTCAACAAAACTGCTGGGTTCTGTCGACGTTATGTCGACAGAACCCAGCGGTAGTGTAGACACAGGGATAGTTTTGTTACAAAACTGCTGGGTTCTGTCGACGTTATGTCGACAGAACCCAGCGGTAGTGTAGACACAGGTATAGTTTTGTTGACAAAAGTCCAGTTTTGTCGACAAAACCCTGTAGTCTAGACACACCCCAGCTGACCCTGGGCTCCACGCACAGCAGCGCTGCACAGTTGATTCCAAGCTCAGCTGTGCGGCGCTGCCACTTTGAAATGCCAAGGGGCAGTGCTGCATGACTGAGCCAGGGATGGTGTTTCAAAGGGGCAACGCTGCACAGCTGATCCCAGCCTCAGCTGTGCAGTGCTACCCCTTTGAAGTACCCCCCTTTCCTCCCCCTATCAGAGGCAGCAAAAGGGGGTGAGGGGAAGAATTGACTAGTTAATGGACTATCCAATAAGCATTTGCTTATCAGATAGTCAGCTAGTCTTTAACATCCCTACCCCATGCCCCCAATCTCCAGCTCTGAGCCCCTCCTTAGGGACCTGAGCAACACTGGGTAAATGTGCTAGCTCCTTATATCAAATATCCACCCCTTAATGCAAAGGCATACCTATAACTGGTCATAGGGCTGAACGTTCTCCTTTTGGATCAATTGTTAAGAAGGTTACAATGACATAGGTCTGATTTTCCCTAGAACCCTCTGAACCTGCTTGCCTCCTTTCAGTCCAAACTGATCCTCATTGATCAATGAGCTCCTCTGACACCAACACAGCAATTCTACTACCAAGTCAGTCCAGTGGTTGGCCCCTATGTCTTTTACTGTTTTCCAGCAGACAGTAACAAGCTTCAGAGGAAAACGTAAAACCTCTAATACAAACAATCATGGGCTAATCATGTTTCACCCTAATCGGTGAGAATGGCTGACTTTTGCTATGGAGTACGATGGTATAGATAGTATAAACTATTTCAAGCATGAGGATTTATTTTACCTATAAAATTTTCATCTCTGAACTTCAAATGGGGATGTTTTCGTGTTTCATAAATATCTAGGATTCCTTATTCAAAAGAATAAGTCAGTTAAACGTACAGACCCCATTAAAAATCAGCTTTTGAAAACTACAGTCCCAGTCTTTTTAAAAACTGTTGGGCTCAATAAGATCAAGGCAGCAAGTGCCACCAGTTAAGTCACCTGTTCTGTACAAAAGTATTCCCTTTAAGTCTGCTGGCTTCCTATTATACTGAACATTGCCTTGTTCTTGCACTGCACAAGAAATACAAATACATGTTAAATTTCACTCCATAGCATTAATAAATAATTCTGTATACTGGTATCAAGGCCCTTCTTATTCTTCTCCTAAGTTAAACTCAGATTTTTGTTTTAATCTCTTTATGCAAAAGCCCTCCCAGAACTCCAGACATGTTGGCTGCTCTTCTCTGGACCTTTTCCATGTCTAGTAATCCTTTGACAGGAGATGGCTAGAACTGAACAGAGAATAGAACAGAATACTCGGGATGTGTTAGTACACCATGACATCTCATGAGGGTTTTTTACCATCCCTGCACAGGTGTTTTCATTATGCAGTACACAGTGACATTTAGGTCTGGTCCCATACTACACAAAAATCAACATCCCTGAGGGTGTGTCTAGACTTCAGGGTTTTGTCAACAAAAGTATACCTGTGTCTACACTACCGCTGCGTTCTGTCGATACAACGTCGACAGAACTCAGTTTTGTCGACTGTGGTAACCCTCATTCTACGAGGAATAACACCTTTTGTCAGCAGAGTTCTGTCAACAGAAGGTGCTATTGCATCTACACTGTCCTTTGCATCTGCACTCATGTTGACAAAGCGGCTTGCTTTGTCGACAGAACTGGCTGTAGTCTAGACGCTCTTTGTCGACAGAAGCTTTGTCAACAGTATCTGTCGACAAAGCCTCTGTCAACAAAAGCCTGTAGTCTAGATGTACCCTGAGTGACACAGTTACACCAAGCTAACCCCTGGCAGTCAGTCTCTACGTCTGCCTCTCAGGAAGGTATATTGGCCAGACTGATCGGAGAGCTCTCTCCCACTGGCACAGTCTCTTCATTAGTGTAGTTAAGAAGTGCAACTGTGCTCATACAGCTTTGTAAGCGCAGACATGTCCTGAGTCTTTGCACCTCTAAACTGCAAATGCAACTAACAAAGCACCAGGCATGTTTTAAAGCTTAAAAAAATGCTTACCACTTACAGCTGTGAGCATGGACTAATTAATCCTCACATTGGCTTTAAAAAGGTGGTAGGCAAAGGCCAAAGAGTCAGCGACAGGGCCAAGACTAGAACTGAAGAATTCTTGCCTCTAATAATCCCACATTCAGTTGACTATGTATGTCAGTTGACTAGGTATGTTAACCCTGTCTCTAAAGAAATTGACCAAAAAATAGCCTTTAACAGGCTTCTCTATCAAGCAACTTGTCACTGGAAGTAGAGTTGAGCAAGACAATGAAAGACACAAGAATGGAGAGGATGCTTACTTTGTCGATAGAGACTGCCTAGGCCATGTACCATCTTCATTCTTCACTTCTATTAACAGCACCTGAAGAGGGAAGGCAGACAGTAAGGCAGGCAAAAGCAGACGCATTTGACATGTTCTGTAAAGTGACTTGAAATCTCTTAATTGATGTTCTTTGAATATTGTTTAATGTATTTTTTTTTCTATTAAATAGAAATAACGCTTCCAACGCAGGGGCTGTGTCTACACTGGGCCACTTATTCCGGAAAATCAGCTGCTATTCCGGAATAAGCTGCGAGCTGTCTACACTGGCCCTTGAATTTCCGGAAAAGCAACGATGCTCTACTGTACAAAATCAGACGCTATTCCAGAAAAACTATTCTGCTCCCGCTTGGGCATAAGTCCTTATTCCGGAACACTGTTCCGGAAAAGGGCCAGTGTAGACAGCCCAGTAGTCTTTTCCGGAAAAAAGCCCCGATCGCGAAAATGGCGATCGGGGCTCTTTTCCGGAAAAGCGCATCTATATTGGCCACAGACGCTTTTCCAGAAAAAGGGCTTTTCCGGAAAAGCAGCCTGCCAATGTAGATGCTCCTTTTCCGGAAAAACTGAAAACGGAATAGTATTCCGTTTTAAGCATTTCCGGAAATTCATGCCAGTGTAGACACAGCCAGGGTGTATTACAGATAGATTCTCTTCCTGCACATAGCACAGCAAACATTGCAAAAGACCAGCTAAAGGAAAACCCGGTGTCAGCCTACTGGGCATTTCAGTTCCAAGATTAGTGAATTCGGAAACTCTTACCTGACCATGATAGAGCCCTGCATCTTGTACAGTGCTGTCCAGATTGCTGACCTGTTCATAGGAGTTACTCATATATCTGCTCCATAACCTAGTTTCCTTCTCGCTGGGGATATTAAACAGCTGTCGCATTTCCTTCTCAATGGTAGCTGTTTTACAGGAGAAAACATTATAAGCTTATCTAGAAAGAGCTGACCACAGACACATTAAAGGCATCTATCCCCACTTTATCAATGCCCAGCCACAAAACACAGGTCTTAATTCAGTAGTGTGACCATCTTTAGAGCTGAAAAACGTCTCTTTACTTTTACACACGTGTCTGCCAGAAACGTTCCAGTAGCTGCCAGAGGAGGACATGTAGCCAGCCCCATGCTGAGCAGACAGGCAGGAGAAGCTATGGGGCAATCCAACCCCCACACAAATGCTGTGACAGGCCAAGGGCTCCTACTGCGATTCAAAGCTGTGTTTTCAGAAGTCCTTTCTAGGAGTGGACGCTGCAAATATCACATTGCTACTTACCAACAGCGTCTGCTTTGCTGAAACAACAGGTCAACAGATTGGTGGGATCACTGTTTTCACACAGCTTCAGCTCCAGGAGGTAAACTTCCACTTTGCAATGCTTCACAAACAGGCCGTACTCCACCACCTGTAAACAAAAGGCTGCCTGTGAAGCAGGCACCATACTGACCACCCCATGTCAATGAGATGACAACACCCCAGACTGGCTGCTTACGGAGTGAATTACAGTTTTAAATTGAGAGGGAGGAGCGTTTATCTAATGGCCGGACTCCAAAACAGAGCTGAGAATTCATGAGTTTAATCCTAGCTCTTGCCCGACCTGTTGCGTGACCTAGATCCAGGCATTAACTTATGTCACCACTGTCCCATCTGTAACACACGGACTACTCCTTCATTCCTCATGGGAAAGTTCTGAAACTTAGAGCCTCTGAGTAGTAGCACCAACTAGTCAAGTTTGCAAAAAAAAGAACGTATATTGCAATTCCTATGATTCATGCAGAGAATTCCAAAACCATTTACCTTTTGTGCTTGGTCTCTGTGCAAGGGTAATTTCCCACTCCCAGAACATTGGAACAAAATCTTTCCTTTTATTCCAAGTTCTACATTCCAACACAGTACAAGTTCCTGACTATCCGCCTACATCCTCCCCAAAAAAGAAATCAATGATGGCACAAGAGCGGCTGAAGTGTCAAACCTATTTGGGTAGGTAAACCTATCAAAAACTGGTTTCAAAATGAGGGATGAGTACTTCCAAATGTGAAAATGCACATGTAATAACCTACTCTATTCTGCTGTCAACCCCACTTCACAGGTGTGAACATCACTGTGCAGCTATGTACCATGTGCCATGTTACTTCCATGTAAGAAGCTGAGTCGCAGAGGTGGAGCCAGTGTTAGTTTCACAAGTACACAGGGCACCCCATGAATCTTAGTAGCGACTATTCATATTATAGTAGCAGCTAGAGGTCCCAAAAGAAATTTGGAACCCATTGGATTGGGAGGAGGTCATTCCAAATCTTGCAGATATTTTCTTTGGAGACCCAAGCAGGAAGTGGATAAAAAGCGATGAAGTGGCAATGTAGGATTCCATGAGGAAAGTGAAGTAGATCTGTTGGATCAACATGGCAAAAGGAGTTAAGTTGGAGCAGACATTGTCAGCATAGCCACAAGATGTCCAGAGACTCCACAGCAAGAGAACAAGGCAGCGAGCAGGGTTAGAGGCGAGCCAGGACTCATTACTCAGGGTATGGCTAAACTACAAGGCTGTGTCTACATTAGCATCCCTTTTTCCGGAAAAGGGTGCCAATGAGACACTTCGGAATTGCAAATGCCGCGGGGGATTTAAATATCCCCCGCAGCATTTGCATGAACATGGCTGCCGCTTTTTTCCGACTTGGGGCTTTGCCGGAGGAAAGCGCCAGTCTAGACAGGGATCTTTCAGAAAATAAAGCCTTTTCCGGAAGATCCCTTATTCCTACTTAAAATCAGGAATAAGGGATCTTCCGGGAAAGGATTTATTTTGAGAGATACCTGTCTAGACTGCACTATGCAAATTCCATATCTGATTTTGATTGAATTTCAAAATAGGCTGTTTCGAAATTTGGTGCATCGACACAGCACCAGACTTCAAAATAACACGCTATTTTGTGACATCTCTTAACCCTCATGGAATGAGTGTGACTGGGATGCCGAAATAGCACGCCTGTTGTCTGAAAAATATTTTGAATGCCAATGTAGAGACAGCGCGCGCGCGTGTGAGAGAGAGAGAGAGAGAGTGAGAGAGAGATTCCAGTACACAGAAGGCGCTCTGTATTTTGCGTACCTTTTTCCGATTCTTTTGTTGGAAGAGGCTTTTCCAGCCTTTTGGCCCGCCTAGACTGGCCCAAATGTTGGGAAAAACCCTCTTTCGGAAGCCCTCTTCTTCCTCATAGAACGAGGAATACAAGGGCTTCTGAAAGAGCGTGTTTGCTCTTCTACAAAAACAAAAAAAATGAAACCGGAAGAGCAAATGCGTTCTCTGGACACAGTGGAGTTCTCTTGGGATACCTCCGGTATTCCGAAAACCCCCACAGTCTAGCCGTACCCTCAGACTCGAATCTGAGCAAGAGAGAAGGAGGGGCTGGAAATGGCAGGATGAAGAGAAAAGCCCCATAAACCTGCCAACAGGCTTCAGAAGATGACTCCGAGTGAGAGAAGCCATCATCTAGCAGAGTGCATGCAGCAGTGCCTGGGGAGGACCAGGAGCCAGAGGGCAAGAGAAGATGTGAGTTAGAGGGGTGGGCTAAGTAGGGCAATGCGAGAAAGTATAGCTGAGGGAAAACAAGAAGGGCGAAGATGGCGGCAGCAGATGGAGGGAGGGAAGGATATATTTGTAGCATTAAGATCCAGAAGAGTTCATCCAATTATCTCATCTGACCACCTAACCATAATAAGATCTTTAACCTTCACCCATCCCCCCCTGACAAGCCCACTGACTTCAGAGAGAGATGATCTGATCAGGTGAAACTTGTCCAGATGATCCTAGCAGGCAGGAGACAAACTGAAAAAATCTATAAGGTCCCAGCCAACGTGACCGGAGGGGCAATTCTTTCCTGACTCTAAAAACTGGTCGATGCCCAGATTAAACTAAGGACGGGGGAAAGCCAACAGGTGTGCAGAAGCACATGGATCAGACAGAGACATCTCTTAGGGGAGGTTCTAGGCGCAGAGATACTCTATGATCTAGTCAGGAGAAGAGGATGGAAGTATGGCTCAGATCAATGAGACAATCAAATGAAAGATTCTGATATCAGGAAATGGCAGACAGACAAACAGTGACAAATTATTAAAGTGCTGATATGCAAATGCTAGAAGTCTAAATAGTAAAATGGGTGAACTGGAGTGCCTAGTTTTAAAGGAGGATATTGACATAACAGGCATCACAGAAACTTGGTGGAATGAGGACAATCAATGGGACACAGTCATACCAGAGTACAAAATATATCAGAGGACAGCAGGTCGTGCTGGTGAGGGAGTGGCACTACAAGTGAAAGAAAATGCAGAATCAAATGAAGTAAAAATCTTAAATGAGCCAAAATGTTCCATAGAATCTCAATGGATAGTAATTCCATGTTCCAATAATAAGAATATAGCCGTAGGGATTATATTATCAACCATCTGATCATGACAGTGATAGTGACAATGAAATGCTCAGGGAGATTAGAGGCTATCAAAATAAAAAAAAAAACCTCAATAACAATGGGAGACTTCAACTATTCCCATATTGACTGGGTACATGTCACCTCAGGACAGGATGTAGAGATAAAATTTCTTGATGCCTTAAATGACTGCTTCTTGAAGCAGCTGGTTCTGGAACCCACAAGAGAAGAGGCAGTTCTAGGAGTGCAGGATCTTGTCCAAGAGGTAAATATAACTGGACCACTTGGAAATTGTGACCATAATGTAATAAAATTTAACATCCCAGTGGTGTGAAAACTCCTCAGCAGCCCAACACTGTGGTATTTAATTTCAGAAAGGGGAACTACACAAAACTGAGGAGGTTAGTTAAAAGGTACAGTGACAAAAGTAAAATCTCTGCAAGCTGCATGGAAACTTTGCTAAGACACCATGATAGAGGTCCAACTTAAACGTATACCCCAAATTAAAAAACATAGTAAGAGAACAAAAAAAGTGTCACCATGGCTAAACAACCAGGTAAAAGAAGCAGTGACAGATAAAAAGATACCTTTCAAAAAGTGGAAGTCAAATCCTAGTGAGGAAAATAGAAAGGGCCATAACCTTTGTCAAATTAAGTGTAAAAATATAGTAAGAAAAGCCAAAAAGGAGTTTGAGGCGCAGCTAGCCAAAAAAACTCAAAAAGTAATAGTAAAATGTTTAAGTACATCAGAAGCAGGAAGCCAGCTAAACAACCAGTGGGGCCCTTGGGTGATCGAGATGCTAAAGGAGCACTCAAAGATGATGAAATCATTGCGGAGAAGCTAAATGAGTTTTATGCTTTGGTCTTCACAGCTGAGGATATTGGGGAGATTCCCAAACCTGAGCCATTCTTTTTAGGTGACAAATCTGAGGAAATGTCCCAGACTGAGGTGTCATCGAAAGAACTTTGGGAACAAATCGATAAACGTAACAGTAACAAGTCACCCAAGAACTCAAATGGGAAATTGCAGAATTATTAACTGTGGAGGCAGCACTGCCCCATTTGTTCGTAAGTGCATCACAAAGAGGAGCACAGAATGAAGCAAGCAGGTCTGTTGGCTCAGTGCCCAAAATGCCTGGAATAAATTAAACAAACCAGAAAACGGCTCCTCTGCGTCTGCAGTAACAAATCTCTCAAGAACTGGGACATCGACATCCCTGCTGAAGATGAAGGAATGAGGAGCTTCAAGCAGGGATGGCTGGTGATGGTTGAAACTGCTGTCAGGGAGCAGCTGCATGTCCACAGCATCAGGAAGACAAAGGAAAAAAGGAATGGTGGGTCAGGACCCCGCGTGGGGGAAAAAGGGGGCGGGGACTACTCCAAGCCAGAGCCTCTCCAACCCTGATGGAGCCACTGCTCCCCCGCTGCTGGGCTGAATCCTGGAGGCAGCCCACAGTCCCAGAGGCAGCTGCAGGGGGAGGGAGGTGGGGTGGAACACTGCTAGAGGTGGACTGGTAACATTTTCTTTGAAAATTTATATATTCAGTATTTGCATAATGAATGTGCAAATAAAATGCTAGTGCCCCAAAAGTTTGTGAATGGGTTTGCCAATCCACGGTATAAAAAAAGGTTGGGAATCACCGTTCCAACCCATCATTAGAGTTCTGCAAAACTGCAGGTATCCATGGGTATCAGCAGCCACAGATATGGATGCAGCTACCCATGGCTCACTTTTGCAAAAGCAAATTTTGTATCTAGAACCATGCAAGTCTGCAGATATCCACTTTACATCCATGGGTATCCACATCCGCAGATGCAGATGTGGATGTCTGTCTCATTTTACAGGTACAGATGCTTGTATCCACATACAGCTCTACGTGACAGTGGGATTAATGTCTGCCATATCAGCGGCCAGACCCACAAATCTACATGTTGGGTTACCTTCCATCCAGATACTACTGGAGAGTAACTTCACATGCTGAATTAACTCACACTAGCACCACAAATCTGACAAATGTAGATAGATGGTTTCCCACAAACCTTCGTTATCGGAGAGTAGGAAGGTGGCTAAACTGCCTGGCAGATTATGGAAGAACAGTCTCAGATTCACATACTTACTTTTCTTAAGATAGGTTGCTGCCCATCTACACAGCCATACCAGCTCACTAGCTTATTCCAGGCTTCAGTGGGAACCAACACATAATCCAGCTCATCAATGAGATGTTCTTTTAAGATCTGTATTTCAGGATCTAAAAAAGGAGGGAGAAAAAGAGTGAGACTTGAGAAGTGGGAGCAACTAGTCATTGCTCATGTTTTAAACGTATTCCATACATGCTACAAGGTAAGATCAGCAAGACATGCAAATCAAACTGTTCTTAACCTCTTGGATGTTGGCTAATAATGGGGTTTAACCTGTTAATGGGGAGGGGGGTGGAGAGAGACTGCTAAAGGCTTTGGAGGGTCTGTGCTTGCATCTAGAGGTGCACTGGCATACTATACATCCCCTGCTGCTCAGCCATTCCCTGCTCACCAAGACCCCAGAAAGAGCAGGGAACAGATAACTTGCTACAGGAGCACAGGTGGAAAGTTTCTAGCACAAAAACTGAGCCAATATACACACACAGGCAAACTTTTGATTAGCCTTCATTTTCAAGTCCCATGTTCTGGAAGTAAATGGGGAGAAGGCAGTATCTGTGTGCTGAAGAAACAAACCTTTTTTGCCAAAAAACTTAATGTAACGATAAGGCAAAAAATTGCAATTTGCACGACCACAAAAATTATTCACACACTACAACTACAACGAGGAGCCCTGCGGCACCTTCAAGACTAACAAAATATATAGCACCATGAGCTCTTACTTTTATGGGTAAAACTCGCTTCATCAATTACATCTACAGACAACCAAGCAGGCATTGCAAAACTGAAGCAGTGTTACCACTGGTTTGCATCTGAATATTCTAATTAATTTTCAGTATTTTCATTTCTTTGAGCACTTCAATAACTTCTTGCACTGCTGTAAGTCCACAAGACAAATCCAGGAGAACTGGTTTGTGAGTCACATCATACCTCACACTTAAAACCAACTCTCAGAAGTTTAGAATTGAGCTTCTCCCAGAAGGATCCACCAGGGAACTTAAGGGAGAGAGAATTCCAAACTTACAGTCCCTTGGAGGATGATAGCCTCATTGCTATTCCATGAAGAGTTGGTGCACTAACACACAAGAGAATCAAGGGACTTTCCTAGGCCAGTGGAGCCCAGGTGTATCTTGCTAATGACTGGGAGGCTGCCCGCCATAGCAATCTACATGCCGGTCAATTGATAAAGCAACATGAAGAGTGGCTCAAAACAGGACATTTTACATTATATGCTGTGGGGTCAAGTACTTGTAACATCACAGGAACAAGATAACAAGCATACTGTATCACCTGTCCAAAGATCAGCCACAATTCAAAAGCCCCTAATCACTTACACCAGACACACTAATCTGGATCTGGTATTAGGGAACAACTTGATAGCATATTTTCTTCATTTTCCCAAACTAAGTCTGAAAAGAAAACTTCCTAGAGTTTTCAGAATTCTATACCAGGCTTGGTGTTCATTCTGACTGATCCTGCTATCAATTCAAATTGGACACACATTTCCGGTTTTGAAAGTTTTCTATTTCATGTTGTGTTTACAGAGAATTTGACAGTCTCCAGACACTGACTGAATTTCATGTCAGTGTGTGAGAGGAAAGGAAATAGCTGCAGGCTAGGATATAAAGAAACAGTAAAGATTTTGAGAAGGCTGGAAACAAAGTTATGCAGCCTTTCTTCTCTCACTTGCCCTCAATCTGAAATCCTATTTCGACATCACCATTAGAGTGAAGTGTGGTCAAACCCATTATTGATATTTCATGCTCCTTCTGGATGATATGCTGGGCCCCAAGTTCCCTGTAAGCCATATGACCGCACAGCTGCTTTCTGAGCTCCACTCGGATGTTCAAAGCTCCCGCGCAAGCAGGGAGCTCAGCTGACCAGCGGGGGGTGGGGCATCATCTCACTGAGGAAGCAGCTAAAGGAGATGCTCAGTGCTTAAAACTGAGCAGCTCCCAGAGCAGGTAAAGAAGGAAGAAAAAGCTGGGGGGAGAGGGAGGAGGAGGAATGAGTAATTGGCTGAGGTGGAGTCAAATGGGAGAGGACTTTGGAGAGTCCCATCTGTGGGAGGAGAGAAAGGCAGAAACTCAGCACTCTCAAGCCTCCTGGGAAGGGGAGATAAGAGGCTGACTGCATGGGGTAGGGGAGGGAAAAAGGGGGGGGTGGAGGATAGGTGATAGCATTGGGGTGAAGTGGAGGCGAGGGAGTTTGTGCTGTGAGATGGGGAAGTGTGGATAATTTGAGCTTTAGTTGGGAGTTAGGACAGGACAGACTGCTGGTGCCTGTCAGTTTGAGAAGCAGGATTTTATTCCAGCCCCCACCTGGGCTAGGGGAAGCAGACTGCACAGGAGTAGGTGGGGGCTGGCATCTATGCAGTGAGGTGGCAGTGTGTGGGGAGAGGGAGGGTTGGGGTCTCCCTGGCTCACTTGCTGCAGTCCTCTGTCGGGGGGGAAGCAGGCTTCATGCAGAGGGTGTGTGTCAGGACATTTGCATTATTACATTTCAAACAAAGCTTACATAGGTGTTAATGGCTTAAGGCAAGGGAAAAAAAAAGATTCCAAAAAAATCTGTTAAGAGCGTTGCAGATATCTAAAACTCTGATCTTAATGACTTTAAATCCTGTGTTACTCATTAATACATAGTATACTGTATTGCATTAAAGGCAGATCTTTGCTATGGGGTAGAGTTCTGGCTCTTATGAGTCACAAGTAGCAAGTACTAGGTGTGATGCTAGTTGTTTTTGTAGGATGAAGCCTTATTTGCAAGCTCTCTGAAACCTGCATCAGTCTACAAACCCCAAAGCCATGTGTTAAATTTGTTATGGGGCTTTTAGTCTGACTTTTGTTAGTCTCTACGATGCTGCCGAACCATTTGTTGTTTTTTTCAGTTACAGCCTAACATGGCTACTCCTCTGAATCTTTGAGTTGGTGACACATACCAGGTGAAAGTTTCAAACTAGGAGAACTTTTATCTGTTTACAGAATGGATCCTAAACATTCCCCAGAGAAACTGTATAAGCCTTAGTGAGTATCTTTTACTCTCCTTTCCGCTGTTAGTAAATATTGTACTAGTCATGCTCTTTGCAAGTAGTATTTCTAGTTGACTCAGATTTGTTTAGTGTCTTAAAACTGAGCTGTGTAGATGTGTTTACTAGCTTGAGTTGCTAGAAAGGATGATACATGTATTCCAAGGATAGTGTTAATTTTATTTGATTTCATATTAAATATTGTAAGCATTTCTCCTTGTTAACGACCCCATGTTTTAATATATTTTCTTCTACACACATGGACTGCTTAAAATATGTATTTATATATGTGTCTGTTTGTTTGGTTTGTATTAGAGGTGCACATCCACACACTACCTCAATATTGGTGTTGCACATAGGAAATTTCAACCTGCCCAAGGATAGAAACCAGTTCCCAATGTTATAGGGAACATTGACTGTGCCCCTCAGAAAGATTAGTGGATTTTGTTTCTGTAAGTGCAGAGAACGAGAAGCTGAATCACATCGGACTGAAAAGACCTGCAAGAACTAAAGGGCACACTTTTAGAAACTGCTAAGAGCTCCTGGATTCTCCTTCGCCACCAGGCACAAACCCAGATATTCATTGCACCTTAACTACAAGCACTTTACCTGCAAAGAGTCCAGAGTTATCAATGGGTCCAGGAAACAGGTTAGGCTCGCCCACGTTGTACATGTCCCAGCTGTCAAAACCCACATACTTCTTCCACTGTTTGAACCACCGACTGTCAATCAAATACCTGGGGAAACGTTTCAACGAGATGTGTGAGCAGCTTTCAGTTTGTACCTGCCAGAGCATACCAGTGTGCGTGACAGTAGAAGACGACTAGCTGGTGCAGGCGCACAGGAACCCATGCAGCCAAGAGAGCGCTGGGAGCAGAGGCCACTCTAGACTAAGACAACCCACTTGTGTAGGGTGGCAGATAGAGTTCATGACTGGGAGGCCTGTCAACAATGTAGAATACGTCCCTAATGCTGACCAGACCTCTTGCCCTGCCCTACATAGTGCTGCATGCTGGCCAGGACCCACTCTACCTTGTGCCCAACCCGTACCTGTCCCCAGCTGCTGAAACTACAGCCGCAGCGCGTGTCAGTGCCCTCACAGTGGCATGTACGGGCTACATTAGGAGGAGTGGGCAAAAGCCACTCAGCGGGCCACATCCGGCCATGCGCCTGTCAACTGCTCATGCCTTCCCCGTGGCTGGCAGGCAACAGCCCCAGGGAAGGCATGAGCCCTATTAACGGAAGCAGTTGAAAGGGCTCACGGATCCTCAGCTCCTAAGCAATGTGCTAGCAGGGGGCTAGAGCTGCGAGCCCTTTCAATAGCAGGAACCGAAAGGGCTCGCAGCTCCTGTTGGGGAGGGGCGAGCTCTTTCAACTCCTGCATGTCAAAGGCTCCACCCCTCCCATCTACTGCTCTCGACCACTTCAAACATTTTTGAAGCGGCTCCTGCTCAAAAGTTATTGCCCACCCCGGGCTAGATGCAGGGTACAATGGACGCATTACCCAAAGGCTTGCCAGAAAGGAGGAAGGAAGGAAGGGTGAGGGTCAGGCTGGGGGGAAGTGGGCCAGGGAGAAGGGGAATAGTAGAGTAAAAAATAAATACATACTTGAGTATTTTAACAAATGAACAGCAGCCTGTCCTAGTGACTTAACTAGGCAACTATCTAGGCAACTGTCCTAGTGAGTCAGTGGCCCTGACTCACTGTGCAACCTTGGGAAAACCACTATAGGCAAATATGTCCAAAATCAGGGAAAGCCTGATTTTGTTGGCTCTCTTAGGTCACCTATTGCCTGGTTTTGGACATGCTGAAGACTCGTATTTCCACCAGCCCCAGCAGGCTGGCCACCCAAAAATCAAAGTCATCCCGATGAGCAGGCAATTCTGAACATTCAGATCCTAACCTCTTTTTGCTGCAGTTTCTCTGAGAAACTTTGATAGTAATAACACCCTGCCAAGATACATCACAAAGAATCACTGATAAAAAGGTGCTATTTCATGTAGTGCCTTGTAAGTAGATCTTTAATTCATGTACCATTTTTTAGGATTCCCCTCTCTCTATTAACATCTGTATAAATCTGATCCACTGGATGAGATAGATTAAAGAGAAACCAATGATTTCTGTTGCTGAACACTACCACAGGCTTTGAGTAGTCCAAGCTTTGGTAAACAACTGTGGTTTCATCTTTGTGCTCTGGATCAAAAGGCCAAAACATGCTTTTTCCAGCACCCCCAAAATCCTACTGAAATCAATATTGGGCCTCAAATGTGAAAGCAGGGGAAAAAGACCCACTTTTCAGATCAGATACATCATATGTGTCTGAAAAGTGCTTCCCATACTTTCAGAGTGCTTTACACAATCAATAAGAATAAGACCAAACATTCAAATGGAAACAAAAAGCAGATCAGTTTTTTTGTTGTTTTTTTTTTAAGAAGAATGTAAGTTGAAAATACAGGTAAAGAACTAAAAACAAATACAGCAAAGTATTAAGAAGGTTTGAAAGTCCCATACAGAAGGATAGCAACAGCATTTTTTTCCCCATTCAGACAATGATCTCCCTTGTTGCATCTGTTATTATTCTGTTTCTTGTTTTCTTCCCCCTTTCTCTCCCCCCACCCGGAACACTTCCACCCCCATACACATACCAGGTGACTATTTCAAGCTTTCCTAAGGGAGCGATTTTCACTTCACTATTGAATGCAGCAGTAATGAAATATTATTACTGTATGAATAAAAGGCACCATAGCATGCCCTCACTGAAGGGGTCATCCTAATATCAGTTCTGCTCACTAAACAGGGTACAACACCTCACCCAAGTAAAAAGGCAGGGGGGGCACAGTTATTTGGTGGCATGGCCTTTCTCTAACAAGAGATTTACCATTTGACCAACCCCTCTGGTGTTTAAAGATCAGGGTGGATTTAAAAAAAAAAAATCAATAATTTTTTAAAAACCTGTTTTATTTAATTTTTAAAATCAATAAAATACTAAATTCTTTATTTAAAAATAAGTTAATTACATTTTATCACAAACATACTGCACCTACACTGGCAGTCTCTTAATGAATTAATGGCTCTAGTCTGTCCAGCCCAACAACCAACTCTTGCTTCTTGAAAGTTCTGGGCTCTCAGCTTCTGTTTCTCAGCAGACTGACATGTGCACAGACAGCAGCTGGATGGGATTTTTTCTGTTCTGTGTTTATGTGGTGATGGATCTGGGCCAAGCATGGCAAAGTTAGATAAGACATTGTGTAAAGACAGAGGCGCAATATATAGGTGAGGACTGAGGCAGAATAGAAACAAGAAGTGGACTGGAAAGAAAAAGGGATGACATTATTCAGCACACACAGCTTCCTATGTTCCAACACTTTTGCCACAGAAAAACTGCAATGGCTTCTGGGTGTAAGAGAGATCCCATCTAGGAATATTTTGAAGAAACATGTCAAGTGTAAGCAGTGCAAAAAGAAAATGCACCTGCAAGAAATTAATCATAGAAGAACCGCTTATTGGGAGAAAATGATGTGAATGAAGATTTGGATGTGCCTGAAGATGATCGTGGATCAACTTTCCAATGCATCATTCTTCAAGACTCTTTTTATGCCTTTTAGTAGAAACATAATTTAACAAGTAAATTCCCAAACTGTTTGCTGTGTTGGATGTTACTTTTTTTCCAGCAAGTTTCTAAACCTAGTTAGCTTATCTAATCCTTACGGCTTGTTTAATTAGTTATCACCCAAGTATACAATACAGAAAGCTGCAGTAAGCCTAGAATTGCCGACTGCCACTGTCATTTTCTTATTTTATATTACATAACACGTGCCTCTTATCTTGGAACATCATGGTCCCAGAGACCATAACAGTGATGCCATACGTCTATTCCCTATTTTCTTTCAGCATTACTCAGCCTTCCCAAAAGAACCCCATCCTATACTTGTTTTCAATGGGGGCTTACTCCAAAATTAAGTGCACCCTAAGTACAGCCTTAGTTTCTACAGTAATTTGGAATCAGATCCACATCAAAATGACAGGGGGGGAGCCAAGAGAATGAGAGCTAGTGGCAGAAGTTAAGGACACCATACATTCAGCGTTCTGAGGACTTGTCTGATCGAGTTTGTTCTTAGTTTTTTTTTTAATTCAAAAAGTTTATCAGCCAGCAACTCAGGAGACTGCTGCAATTGGAAGTGTGAAACATTTATGTAACATTTAAGGTGTGGTTTAATGAAACATAAGTGCTACTGTGTTTGTGTGCAATTTAATTCTTAGCATTCCTAATGTACTGCTGCTACATCTGCAGATTGATACAAATAATGAGTACCATGTACTATTTCCTAACTTGATTTTTATTAATTTACCTAAAAAATTTGACAAAATATCCCATTAAGTGTTGTAAAATGCTGCAATGAGTTGTAAAATAACATGCTTTAGTGGTCAGATATGCACCACTGAAGAAAAGTGAAATAGTAAGAGTGGGAAATTATTTAAATTAGGGAGGTGAAAGGTAACCCATTAACCAGTTACATACACAGTAAGCATAACTTTAACAGGCTGGGAGTTGGCAGACTCACAAAGGTCTGGAAGCTGCAGTAGGGGAGGGGCTACTCACCCCCATTTATTCAGTTAGCTGGTTAAACTTGACATCTGGTTAAACTTAACCCTCAGTTAAATCAATGATTTTTTGTGTGATTTAAATCAACCATTTAAATTACTCCACCTGTTAAAAACAGCGCTCATTAGACTCAGTTTAGAGTACTTGTTTCTGCTCTATAATTAATAAGAGCTGAAATCACAGATAAATTGATCTAAAGGGAGCTGATCTTTGACCTGTTGAGGAGAAAAGACATGATGTGCCATGAAAAGACAGTACAAAGGGCAACAAAGCAGAGACTCCAGTGAAATCACTAAGACTTAGGCTGACAGAACCACAGAATCACAGCTGAGGCAGCAGTGAACAATGGCCCTCTGCACAAAAACCCTCTCAAAAGCATGGGTAGCATGTCTACACTGAAGCACTATAGCAAAGCAGCTGGACCACCACAGCATTTTAAGGGTAGAAAAGCCCTAAGTTTTATGAGGCACTGAACAGTTGAATTGGCCTTCTCTATCCACCTGAAATGTGCCATCAGAAACCTGCCCTGCAACCCATCTTTCTGAGGCTCCACCACTGGTGACTCAGCCCCTTAAGCAGGCAAAGCCCAGGCCAGGAGTACAGGGTGTCAGCCAGGAGCTGAGACCCTCCTTCCTCAGCCACTGGCTCCACTCTTACA